AGAACTATTCAGAAGTGCTCAACAATATTGATCAACTATAAATTATGAGTTTGTAATGTGTGATGGTAAAACTCCATATGGTGTTGATTTTTTTGTAGCTAACAGGGTAAATCTATGTGAGCTAGCCAGATGAGTCTTCCATTATTCTGCCAGCACTATGCAATTAATTCTGTGCTAACAGGTTATAGTTATTTCTGAGCCAATGGGATATTCAATGCCATATGACATCATGGCCTCTATAGAAGGGGAGGGATGGAGCAGCATTTGTTTTTTTTAATGTGTTAGATTTCTGCTGGAGAAGGGAGAGCTGCTGCATCTCAGCTGAGGGATTTATTGTCGCTTGCTTTCTATGTTATTTCACCGGCATTATCGTTACTATTGTTGCCTCCTCTCTCTGTGTTGCTTTATTAAACTGTCCTTATCTCCACTCACAGGCTTTTTGCTTTCTCTTCCTACGGATTCTCCTCCCCTGACTGGCGGCAGCGGAAGGGCGGTGGGGCAAGCGGGTGGGTGGGCAGCGGCCAGGGGCTGCTGGGGTTTAGCTGCCGGCCGAGGCTAGATCTCTCAATTGGTACTTTCCTGCTTCTTGGAAAAAACTAGAATTATTAGAAATGATATTGTGGACTTAGAAATATTAGGTATTTCTTATAGGAATTATCATAAGCAATGTTTTGAAGAAAATAATGAAATATTCAAGGTTTATGCTTGGTCCTTGGAGTAGAATTAAAGAGGAAAGAAGCAAGGCAGGCACGAAGGCAAAGATTGCTTAGGACAGGGAAATTAAATGTTATATTGGGGAGGTGCGGAAAATACTGTTGTCAGCTGTTGGTTTTCACAAAGGAGACAGAGGAGTCCTATAAAAATGTACTTTATTTGAATAAAGGGAGAGTCCACGGGCATATCCCGGTGGGGCTTCTCAAATTTGCTGGCAGACACAGCCCCCTTTTTATCCTAATTTCCTGGCCACATAGGTGCCTTCTTGTTTCCCCATTGGCTGAGATACTAGGAGGGTACAGACTGCCTGATCCACCTACTACATATAGAATCATAGAATCACTATGTTTAGAAAGGACCTTTAGGATCATCAAGTCAAACCTTAATGCCAACATCTTCCTAACCACTAGACCATAGCCTCAAGTGCTGTATCTACTAATTTTTTTAACACCTCCAGGGACGATGACCTCACCACCTCCCTGGGCAGCCTGTTCCAATGCCTAACCACTCTCTCAGTAAAGAACTTCCTGCTAATATTCAGTCTGAAACTCCCTTGATGCAACCTGAAGGCCATTTCTTCTCATCCTACCATTAGTAATCTGGGAGAAGAGACCAACAGCTGCCTAACTACAATCTCCTTTTAGGGAGCTGTAGAGAGCAATGAGGGCACCTCTCAGTCTCCTCCAGACTAAACAACCCCAGTTCCCTCAGCTGGGCTCCACAAGGCATGTTTTCCAGCCCTCTCACCAGCCTCGTTGCCCTTCTCTGGACCCGCTCCAGCACCTCCATTTCCTTCTTATCCTGTGGTGCCCAAAACTGGACACAGGACTCAAGGTGAGGTCTCACCAGTGCTGAGTCCAGGGGCATGATCACATCCCTGCTACTGCTGGCCACACTGTTTCTGATCCAGGCCAGGATGCTGTTTGCCTTCTTGGCCACCTGGGCACACACTGGCTCATGTTCAGTTGGCTGTCCACCTGCAACCCCAGGTCCTTTTCCCCAGGCACTTTACAGACAGTCCTCCCCAAGCCTGGAGTGTTGCTTGGGGTTTTTGTGACCCAAGTGCAGGACCCAGCACTTGGCCTTGTTAAACCTCATCCAATTGACCTCAGCCCTTTGCTCCAGCCTGTCCAGATCCCTCTGCAGAGCCTTCCTACCCTCCAGCAAATCGACACTTCCACTTAATTTCATGCCATCTGCAAATTTACTGAGGGTGCACTTGATCCCCTCATCCAGGTCATTAATAAAGATATTAAACAAGACTGGTCCCAAAACCAAGCCCTGAGGGTCACTGCTTGTGACTGGAAACCAGACAGGTTTAACTCCACTCACCACAGCTCTCTGTGACTGGCCATCCAGACAGTTTTTAACCTAGCAAAGAGTCCACCTGTCTAGGCCATGAGCCCCTAGGTTCTCCAGCAGAATACTGTGGAAAACACGTGACAAATGCCTTCCTGAAATCCATGTAGACAACATCCACTGCTTTTCCCTCATCTGCTAGAAGGGTCACCTTGTGGCAACACGGCACCCCAGAGAGAATTGAGCTAGACAACAGGACTCACTTCTGAAGCAGCCTTATAGACACCTGCAACAAGGAGCATAGCATCGAGTAGGTGTATCACATCCTCTGTCACACACCAGCCTCGGGGAAAACTGAAAGATAGAATGGGCTGTTAAAAACTATGCTGAAAGCAATGGAGGGAGGAACTTGAAAGCACTGGGACACAAACTTAGCAAAGGCCACCTGGTTGGTCAACACAAGAGGATCTGCCAATCCAGCTGGCCCTGCCCAGTCAAAACATGCACATGCTGTAGAAGGGGATAAAGTCTGTGTAGTGCACCAGAAGAATGTATTAGAGAAGACAATCTGGATCAACCCTGCTTCCGGCAAAGGCAAACCCATCCATGGGATTGCTTTTGCCAAAGGACCTGAGTGTTCCTGGTGGGTGATGCAGGAGGGTGGGGAAGTCCGATGTACACCACAAGCAGACTTAATTCTGGGGGAGAAGAGCCAGTGAATTAAATTGTGTGTGGTTAATTGTTAAATAACTGCTGTGCATGATGTAGATGGTATCAAATAAGCGATGGAATGTCCTGGTGTGGCTGGGTTAGGGTTGGTTTTCACCTGCAGTCAGGAGGGACATCTAGCTGGGCAGATAGCCAGACCAGTGGGTTATTTGATGCCATGCTGACACTATGCCTGTAGCAGCAGAGCCAGGCTGGGCATGGGGCATGGGCTGTCTGGGGGCAGGGGTGTTTCTGGGAACAGGGGTTTCGGGGTCAGCGGGGTGCGAGCCACGCTTGCTACCGCGAGCCTGCACAGTGATCTCTTCCCTTTGTTATATATTGTTATAAAGAGAGAGGTGCCCAGCTCCTTCTTGGGTCTAAATCATGACAACTGACAAGTTTATTTCTTGTCCAGTTTGCTTGTTGAAGTTTATTTCTTGTTCAGCTCCTCTGCTTGTGCTTGAAAATCTGCTTAGCTGCAGAACTAGCCCTTGTCTCAAATCCACTCAAACCTTTGCAATTAAATTAAAAGCTCCCTTTGTCCTTTTTCTCCCCAAATCCAAGATGGAAACTCCAGGAAGAGCCATGGCATGTGCCCTTTCCTTATCTGTCTCCCTGGGCAGTGAAGCTTGTGCCTTGCAAAAATATGGACAGCTGCTCCAATGCACGGACAGTTGGACACAGGACCTCAGTCCCCACTCCCAGGGCTGCCAGCGCTGAGACACCCAGTTTTTCTTCTCCTCCTCCCCTCCTTCCCCACCACAGTTGCCCCCATCCATGTGCCACTACCTGCCTGCACATCCATCCCTCTGCACATCTACTTGCCCATCCCACCGGCCATCTGACCACCCATCTGTGCATCTGTAGGCCTGTGTGTCTGTGTATCTGCATCTACCTGTGCACCCACCTACCCACATCTGCTTGTCTGTGCATTCCTCTGTACACTTACCTGTCTGACCATCCATCTACCCACCTTATCTGCCTGTGCACCCATCTTGCCATAGGTGCAGACTCGTGCAGCCAACTATCCATTTATCTCTATGAAAACACCCACCCATCTTACCTTTCTCCACATCCATACCACCCTCCTTCCATGTATCCATATTTTTATGCAACTCTGGATATTGGCAAGTGCCAAAAACTCCCACTTTGCTACACCGAGGGCTGAGCTAGGGGAGAACCCAGAGGGAGCTGCAAACACCTTCCTTGCATCCTATCCTTCCCTCTCTACAGTCCATCCCTCCATCTATTTTTCCTTCCCTCCCCCTGTATCTGTGGCTGACACACCCCACAGTGACCCTGCTATAGTGAGACAGGGACCACCCCCCTCCTGTCACCCCTACAGAGCTGCTCCTCAGCCAGGCTTGGATGTTGGGGTGGCAGCTGAGAGCCCCCTTTCTTTCTCAGTGCCCTGGGAAGTGACTGATTTCCAACTCCAAAACATCTCAATGACCAGTTGGGAGGGGGGCTACACCCCTTTGCCTCCTGCAAACCCCCAGACAATCCCCCTGCACTTCCCAGGCACAGTTGCTGGAGAATGCCCTGGGGCACATCTAGCACCTGCAGACGACCTTGAACATTGTCAAGGGTGGGGCAGGTAACAGGGACCTCCCAGGACACCATCTCTATTCAGAGACCCTCTCTCTCATGCTCTCCCTCCAGCTTCAAGCCCTCCAAGCATGTCCCCGAGCCCCTCTGCCCATTTGGAGGATGCCTTCCAACTGGGGACACCTCGGTAACAATTGCTCCATCTCTACTTGCCACCCCAGTGACTCCACAGCAGCAGAACCGAGCACTGGGGCCACAAAGGCACAGGTGACCTGACGGGAGGGACAAACGGAGGGGATAGGGAGGGCCCCTAGCTGCCCTAGAGCCTCACCAGAGCAAAATACACGGGTGTCACACCCTGGCAATGTGGGGGACAAAGACCCAGGGCTGCCACCCTGCACCCCAAAAACCTGGAGGTGGGGATGACAGAGCCCCAAGATGGCAGGGCTGGAAAAAGGAGACCTCTAGCTTGGGACTCCCCACAACCATTTGTTCCCACACCTCTAAAAGTAACACTTGTGACATTGATGGGGGCTCCCCAACAGCCAGACCCCCATCCCAAGATACAAAGCCCTCCCAGAACTGGGGTAGCCACCACAAAAATGAGTACAGATGCCACACACACTCCCCAGACGGCGTTTAATGACATGGCTGACAGCTAAGTGGGGTTTAGGGAGCAAAGGGAGGTTAATGGGAGGCTGCGGGAGGTAAAGTGGGGTTCAGGGCCCCGCTCACCTGAGGAGGTGATAGGTAAGCCAGTACATAAAGAGAGGCTGGGTGGCAGCAATGGCCATGGTCAAGTACATCCGCAGCTGGCTCTTGGCCCCTCGCACCAGCAGCCCCTCGGCCGCCGCTTCAGACAACAGCTTCAGCCGCAGGGTCCTGATCTGACCACAGAACAAAGAGGGTGAATCTCCCCGAAAAGAGAGCCCAACAGCCCCCCTTTCCCCTCTCTTTACCATGAAGACAAAGATGCTGAGGCAGCACCAGCTCAACACCACGTAGTAACCGCTCCGGCCGAAGAGAAGCCCAGCAATGAGGCCAATGATCATCCTGCGGTTACCATGGGGGAGTTATCAGGATGCAATGCCTCCTTAAGGAAACCCTCCAACGCCCCCCAGAATGTCTCACCCCACATATTTGTAGCCAGCAAAGGCGAAGAGGTCGATGGTGGTGAGGTCAGTGTTGACAGTGACCAGGTAGAGGCTGAGGAGCGCAGCCAGCACCTCCACGATGAGCCAGGCCAGCGCTGAGCTTGCCTGCAAACCCAGGCTGTCAGGGGAGAATCTGAGGGGGCATTGGAAAATGAGGGGAGCCATGGCTTTGCCTGCACCCCTTTTTGTAGGGTGGGGACCTTGGAGATGGTGAACTCACCTGTTTTGGGTGCCCAGCGCCAAACCAGCAACGAGGATGTAGGTGATGAAGGCCATCACTGCGGGGTGTGGGGACACACACATATCACTGGGGGGGGTTGAGGGCAGGGGAACACCGGGGACACTGGAGGGGACACAGGGAAGACACACATACCTGGAATATAGAGATCAGGGGCATTGACATCAAAGCGTGGGGCGACTGGGGTGTCCTGCTGGTACCTCACTTGCCAGTCCTAGGCCAGGGGGGACACAGTTAGAGCCCCCCAGGGCTCTGATGGTCTCCTCGCTCCTGGTACCAACCCCCCAGCCCCAGCAATACCCTCCCAGACCCCAGTATC